AGAGTGGTTCTCTTGAGTGTGAGTTTTAGGTTCTAGTTATTTAAATAAGTGTGTGATATCTTATTTGAATGCTAGACTCAACCCCAAGTTAAGATAAGAGTGTGTAATATCTCTTAACACCAACTTGGCTTTTCCCAAAGAAATACTTCTTTTCTTGTCTCGAGCTGTCAAATAATCGATTATCGCTACAAGAAATCGATTATCTATCCCTCGTGAAACATCTGCAGCCTTCAATAGTCGATTATCACTTTCAGATAATCGATTAGCAGCCTTTCCCAGAACCCTGCACTTCTCAATAATCGATTTCCACTCTTCAATCAATCGATTATTATCCTTCTCAGAAAATTCCCAGAAAAACTACCCAGAACCTGCAGCCGTCCATAATCGATTATCCATTTAGGACAATCGATTATCACCATCTCCCTGCAAATAAAGAGGTTGTAACTATAAAACCCTGAGCATAGATATAACACAAGTTCCTTTCGGTTTTCAAAAAAGATATTTACTATGCAACTTCTAAGATGACCAATGGTCTTTATATCTTAGACTTAGACGCCACTGTTTATAACGTAGATGTTAAGAGAAGCAAACCAAGCAGTTTGAATCTCACATACCTTTGGCATTGTCGTTTGGGCCACATTAACGAGAAACACATATCTAAGTTACGTCACTCTGGCGTACTTGATTCATTTGACCTCGAGTCTTATGATGTATGCCAATCTTGTTTACTCGGTAAAATGACAAAGGCTCCATTCACTGGTCACGGTGAAAGGGCGAGTGATGTATTAGGCCTCATACACTCTAATGTATGTGGCCCAATCAACACTGAAGCTAGAGGTGGTTTCTCATACTTCGTAACATTTACTGACGACCTCAGTCGGTATGGATATGTGTATCTCATGAAACACAAACCGGAATGCTTTGACAAGTTCAAAGAATTCAGAAACGAAGTAGAGAAACAATTAGGCAAAAGTATCAAGACCCTCCGCTCAGATCGAGGAGGTGAGTACTTAAGCCTGGAGTTCGATGACTATCTAAAAGAGCACGGGATTCTATCCCAGCTGACTCCTCCCGGTACACCCCAATTAAATGGAGTGTCTGAAAGGAGAAACCGAACGCTGCTCGATATGGTTCGGAGTATGATGAGTCTGACAACATTACCAGAGTCTTTTTGGGGCAAAGCACTATTAACAACAGCACACACACTCAATCGCGTATGTTATATCCGGGCTTGGCCCTATCATACCCTCCCCCATGTCCCACACTCGAGGCTGATCCCACACTCCCCATACCTTCCCTAAACATCCAAAATATTTCCTTTTCAAAATAAAGTTTTTCCTACTCTTATTTTAGCTCAGGGCCGAAAATAAGAGTGTGTAAAATAAAACTTTTTGTTTGTTGTTATTCTCTTTCTTTTAAGCCTTTCCAATAAACAAATAAAACCCTCTCTCCTTCCTTTATTTCCTGGCCAATTAAATCTCACAACCCCAACATAAACACCCACAAAAGGCCAAAAACCTGACCCACCACTAGCCACTCATTTCTGCCCATATTCCCTCACAAATAACCCAAACCTATAAGTCCAAAACCACCCATTATAGCCCCCATCCCTGCCCCCTTTTCTCAGCAAACACAACCCCTCATTTTACCCAAATAATAGCCTTAAAAAAACCAGGAAACAACCACTACAAACCAAACCTCAAAACCCCACAACCCCAGCCCCATCTCTGATTTTTATTCCACAACCCCACAACCACTGCTAACTCCGTTAAGCTTAAGGGTGCTTAACAAACCGATACAACTTGAGAACCCGAGTCACACGAGCCTCAACACCTTTGCTTGGAGATACCGCACTCCAAGACTTCTCACGAAGGAACAAAGAACTTCCTTCGAGTTTACAACAAGGGAACAACCTCCCTTAAAGTGTATAAAAACACTTAAGCACTCAGGAATAAAACTCTCACAAAGAGTAAATATGAGTGAACTAGTAAACGCTCAAGAACACGACAATTTCTTCAAGAATTGGCTCTCAAATAGCTAAGAAAGTTAGGAATGCTTATGCAATGAAAGAGTATTGAAATGTTGAAGAATTGTGTGTAAAATGAGAGGATTTGGGTGCCATTTTATAGCCCAAAATGGGATAAAACCGTTGCTAAATTTTCCAACAAGATGAAGACAAATTTTTCAGAATTGCAGGGTGATAATCGACTGTCTAGACATGATAATCGATTATTAAAAGATTCCCTGTCCAAAAGTTTAAAAAACTATCCGTTGGAGGACAACGGTAACCCAAATAATCGATTGTCGACTAGTGATAATCGATTGTCGACTAGTGATAATCGATTATTGGTCCTCTCAGAAGTTTCTGGGTTTTGGCTGCACTGACTGATAATCGATTATTGCAAATCTGATAATCGACTATTGCTTGCTTCAGTACTTTGGAGTTCAAAGCTGCAGAGGCAGATAATCGATTTTCACCAAAGTGATAATCGATTATCACCTAGCTAAAGCCTAGCCAGCTGAAACCCGTTTTGAAAAATCGAGGTCCAAAAACGAAGTGTTCCCAAAAATAAAAACCAAGTTTGAAAAACATTGTATATGGTATAAAATAGTGAAAACAAGACTTGTTTGGTAAAAACCAAGTCTCCAAGGTCGTACAACACGTGCGTACGGTTTTGACCGTTTTTCACGTGTTAGACCGATTGACCAAGATACAAAAGTGGTTTTTATAAAATAATTATTTGGGAACCTTTTAAAAATGCTCAGAGGTAAAAACAAGGTTTAAAAAATTGAAAACCACGGAGTTGGTTCGGGCGCCAAAAACCGAACGCCGAATGCCGAACGCCGAATGCCGAACGCCGAACGCCGAACGCTGAACGCCGAACTAGGTGGTTTAGGTTCCGAGCAAGGACCAGGGATTTTAACAAAAAAATGATCAAAAATATTTATTTTGATGCACAAAAATATTTTATGATTTGTAAAAATTGTTTTGACTCTTTGAGAACCGAGACTTGAATTTATTGTCGGTTTTGATCACAAAAGACCGACTCGACTAAGTCTTCAATTCTTGATCTTGTCCTTGAGTCTTTTTGGTCTTGTTCCATTTCATTCTTCACGCCTTGAGTTATTTAACGGAGCTTTTCATATCCACGGCGGTTTGGCAATTATCAAAACCTGTCAGAAATGAACTCGACTTTAGTTTATCGTACAAAGTGTGTTCCAACACAAGGAACTTTCCAGGTGGTGCAGATGTCCCAAGACCGATTTGTAGTGCATCATGAGGAAGCCATGCGGCTTGATGTTGGAAGAAAGGTTCATACCACCCATAGTGTCTGGGTGGGGAACCCTGGACGGATCACTGAGAAGATTACACATAGGACTGAGCTCTAATTCCTTGATGGTGGAAGACTCAGGCCGCTATTGTTTAGGATCGATAGTCTTGGATCATGAAAGACATGTTCGGAAATTTGAGAGAAGGCTGAGAATTGAAAGCGGAATCTCTTCTAAGTCAGATTGAAAGCGATATGAAGGAGAAGAGAGGAAGAATGGATGGCCAAAGGTACTTGAGTATATAGATGTTATGATACGAAGCCCGAGATGAGATAATTGGGGTCATTTTCGGTTCAACACGGGATTCGAAGGGGGCTCATCAATAGTTGCTCAGTGACGTCACTTAGAAACTAAGGGGCTTGTGATGGATATCGGGTCCGTGAAATGGATCCGAAAAGGCCCGAGTATGTTATCACAGCCCAACAGAAGTAAAGTCCAGAGCTGGACCGTGAATTAAGGTGGATCGAACCCAAGGATTGAACGAGGCAATGGGCATAGCCCAGCCCGTGAAGACAGGATTTGTCACCAAGTAAAAGGAGAGTGCAATCTCCTTGATCGTGGGATTGAGAGGCAATTGATGACTGATTCCTCGCACATGAATTACATACCATGTACATAGTAGCATTGGCTATACATAGGAGGCAAATCCTCAATTGTAACCCAAGCTAAATCAAGCTAATACAAGCATACGAGAGTTACATTCTGATCTATATTCTTATTTACATACAAGTTCTTCGTGACACCATAGCTGTTGGACTAAATTCCCTCAAATATAAAAAATGAAAAGGAAAATGGAACCACACCCCTAAAAGGGAAAGGAAAATGAAAGTAAAAGAAAAAGTTGACATGATGTTGAGTTGACTTAAGAAAAAGAGGGGTGGGATCCATACCCCTCAGCCTGATGATTATGCATATTTTTATATCATAGAAGTTGCCATTATCAATACATAAATACATACATTAGTTCCAGGCTGAAGCGTAGGAACTTACTTATGATAGAGTTAAACGGAAAAGATATTACATCTATTATATCAATAATCAACATGCAATTTCTTTGCCCCCATCTTGTTGGAGAAAAAGAAAGCCAGGAAAACATAAAAAGGAAAGAAAAATTAGGACACAACTATACTTCCATTACAATAAGCTGCCAATATTAGCATTCTAGCAGCATTATTGTGTGGTTGGCACCCTCAGCCACACAACGACCCTCTTCCTTTCATGACATGCCTCCTTAGCCCGGGAATGTGGACGTTTGATATGTAATGCTTCCAATCCAAGCTCTCAACGTCAAACCCGAATTGCCATCTTTCGTCCTTAGACATGCATTCCATCAACTTCTGACTATTGCTGTTATCAAACCTGCAGATTTAGGGCTGTTAAACATAAAACCCCCGAAGCTTGAAAGAAAAGAAAAAAAAATAGACTATATATTGCTTTCTCTTTTCTTTCCCTCAAATGTTCCTCTATAATTTCTACTTTATAGGGAGTATTTCATCTCCTTAGATAGTACTTTATGGACCCCAAAGAATCCTCTCACCTTCCACCATAGAAAGTGTATGGCTCATAGATGCTGGCCAAGTACTTAGCTTGCTCCACTGATTTTCTGCAGACATTTTGGATTTTGCTAGATAGCTTTCCATTAGTATTGCCCAACATTGTTAGTCCACTTTTGTTAATTGTGTCACGCCATAAGTGGGATGACAAGGCTTCCATGGAGCTGAAAAGCTTCATTGTTGGGACATCAATCGGTTTTCCCTTGGAGTCGATGTATGGCTTAGAGTGGAAGTGTTCATACAACAACCTGGCCAGGTCCTTGAAGACTAACGGGTTCACAACAGATGAAGCAATGTGATAAATATTAGTTCCTGGTTTTCCAGCTATCCCGTGCTTTGCCATTGCTGCCAAGGTTGCATTAACAACCATGTCTGCTGGAACCTGAAATTTAAAAAAACATTTTAGTAGTTAAATCTTGCCCCTTTTTGTTTTGTTTTGGGAAAGTGCTGTTTTTAGGTCATCAAATTCATGAAGTCCCAAAAATAAATAATAGAAATTACTCTTTGGGTGTCACTCAATCGAGTCATAAGTTAAAAGTAATCTATTAGAGTATTAGATTGAGTTCTTATTATAGACCCAAAATTGCATGTTGATAAGGTTAAATGCTTACCACATCAAGTACCCCGTTTGGGTCTACGAGGAATCCCGTAAGTTGCCCTTTCCCATAGTGCAAAATAATTGGATCCATCATCCTTCATGCTTGGTTGCAATTTTTAACATTAGTTAGTGTACAGCATCTAGCTAAAATAATGTCATAATGTCTGACTTTTGGTGATTAACCTATTTTGAACTCATTTACCTGTTTCCTTCCATCCATCCAGGGAAAGGTTCTTTGTGTGTGCTTTCAATGACACTAGGCCGGATTATAACAACAGGTATGTCGCCCTTCAGATCATCAATCATCATTTCTCCCATCGCCTTTGTGAATACGTATGTGTCTTGCCACCCGAATTTCTTTGCTCTGAATGTTGTAAAAGGGGCAAACTGCTTCTATGAGAACTCTGCATTTTCTTCCCATTTCCAAATTTCCAAAAAAAATAATACCAGAAACTAACATTTTGGTTCATTACCTCTCCAGGCCAAGTTCTTTCATCTTATGAAACATTTCACTCTCTTGGAGTGTTTCTTTAACTCCCAGAACCATCTTCATCTCATCTTCAACATTCAGCTTAGGGATTGAGTTTTGGTGAATTCCATTCCCTGCTCTTTCACCTGCGATGCTGTCACCAATGCAGAATGGTCTCTCCATGATTCTTCCTTGCCGTTGTCCATTAACATAAGCTGTTTGAATAAAAATTGTGAAAATTCAACTTTAATTAAATTAAAGCAGCTCACACAGCTTATTAAACAAAGCCTTTTGGTAATTAAAGGAGTACTATTAACAGAAGCGCGTACTTACCAGTTGACACATGGAGGAAGAGTTTGAGCTTTTGGCATTGTGTGGCAAATTTCACTAGGCGATTAGTCCCATTCGTGTTTATATCAAGAGCAACATCATATCTGAATATTAAACACCATTAAATTGAATGTAATTTAATTTTTGTGTAGAATGAATGATCCAGTAAGATCCCAACTCTAGCTTTGGGTGTAGGGTCAACCCCTGGAAAAAGACAGTTTCCATTCCACCATAGATGCATTGTTGTATCTATTAACCAAAACTTAACAAGGAATTTTTAATTTGTAATTTTCAATTGAGTCCATTATATGCCCGAACTTAAAACATTATTTTTAGCTTAATTTGTGATGGGAAGTAATTAAATTTGTGTAACAAAAAAAAATCTGAAGGATTCTT